AGGAGTGATGGGAGACGAAAAAGAACGATGGGAGACGAAAGGAGTGATGGGAGACGAAAAAGAGTGATGGGAGACGAAAAAGAGTGATGGGAGACGAAAAAGATTGATGGGAGACGAAAAGGAGTAATGGGAAGATGAAGAGGAGTGATGATGGGAGACGAAAGGGAGTAATGGAAAGTTGAAGAGAGACGAAAGGAGTGATGGACCTAATAAAAAACGTTTTTGCGACGTTTTTTGTTAAAATAATTAAAAACGTTTGTGAAAACCATTTTTTTTATAAAATTATTATTAAAGAAACAGTTTCGCAATGTTTTCTATTAAAACAATTAAAAAATGTTGCGAAACTGTTTTTTTTATTAATAAAAAATGTTTTCACAACATTTTTTTTGTTAAAATAATTAAAAAATGTTTCAAAATATTTTTTTATTAATCACTTATTACATGTTAACACAACATTCTTTAAAAAATAAAAAATTTTTTTTTTTGTGTTATAATGAATTGTGAATTTGCGGTTGAAGTGTTTTTTTTTAAATTTAGTGAATAAAAATGATCAACAAAATTAAAATTCTACCAAAAAACCTACAATTTGATGGTTAAACTTAATATGACATAAAAGTACCACAGGAAGCTCTAAATCACAAAATTGTGGTTTAAGAATTCTGTCCCTGTCCTGTCCTGTCCTGTCCTGTCCTGTCTTGTCTTGTCTTGTCCTGTCCTGTCTAGTACTATTAATTAAGTACTATAATACTTCCGGAAAAAATTGTGCAGATCATGCCCATATTTTGATAATGACAAACTAACATTGGCCGATCAAATTGCTAATACCAAAAATAGGATCAACAAATTTTCATACCAAATCTAATCTGATCAGCAAATTGAATTCCAAATTTATTTTTGTTTTTCATTTAAACATTATAATGGTGTTAAGGTAAGAAATCATTCAAAAAAATTCTTTCTGCTTCTGTCACTGACCAATATTATCAAAGAAAAATATATTTCAAAACTGGCTTTTTACTATTCTTCGTACCCAGGTTTCAGTAAAAGTGTATTTGAACTTAATAAGATGGCGCCACCGACGTCTCCTATCTCACAACGTACACGTTCAGGAACAGCCAACTCGGCTGAACTTCTTGGTGACAGCAGCGAAGAGACTATTCAGCGAGGCAAAACTCACGACAATATTTCTGCACCTTACAATATTAACAAGCCCTTAGAACCTAAAGAGGTCTCTAATAGGCGTGATACTCGTAAAAAGAAACAACAGGTTCAGTTTAGTACTAATATCACTGGCCCAGCTCAACAAGAGGCTTCTCCAATATTCTTGCATCATTCGCCCAAAACGATCAATAACAATGTCGACCAATCAAATTTGCAGAATTCGAATGTAAACAAAAATGATGGAAATAAACAAATACCGGAGCAAATCATTGGTCAATCATCTGCCGATCAAAACATTCCTAAACCAGTTAACAAAAATGTTGATCAACAAATCGAACTACCCGATATAGATATGATCGACAGCACACATGAGGACATTCTAGAACAACCCCGTAAATTAGAACAAGAAAAAATCTTGGCTAAATTGCACGTGCAAATAGATGATGCTAATAATATAAATGAATATAGAAAATTTATTAAAGTGGTACAAAACCACATTTTGGAAGACGCGGGTTTAAAACAAGAAAATATTATTAATCTTCAAACCCAAGTCATAACGCAAAAGAACGACAATAATAACAAGGATAAACAAAAGGAAGATGGGTCCTCTCAGACTCCTAGGGTCATTACTGGAATTGCTCTTTTAGCTACTATAATTTCCCGTGATACTCTTATCAGTTTAATTGAAACCCCGTACAGTTGCGATAATAAAGAATATTACTTTGAAGAAGTTATTACAGCAAAAGCTAAACAATTACAAAAAAATAAAAATTCACGTGATAGAGTAGTTCAAATTTTTAACGCCTCGTTAAGGCTTACTACTGCGATTAATATCAAGCCATTTATGAGGAAATATGGTGATATAGAAGAGGAGGAATGTTATTCAAGAAGACCTTACGCACATGCACCAAATCGTCAAGTGATTTATATCACCTTTAAAGAAGCCAATAGCGTCACACAATTTTATAATAATCACGTGTTATGGATATATGGTGAGATGTTATGTGTGACTCCTTTTTTAATGGAAAAAGAAAATAGAGACAAATTGAAATTGTATTGTAAGAAATTGAATGGGCTTCCACCTAATGTTCAAGCCATAGAATTTAAGAGTTTTGTAGATAATCAAGAAGTAGTGGAATTTTTTATTCTACGAAATACTTACACTAACGAGACACAAAAATATGCTTATGTATACTTTAAGACAGAAGCGGCTATGGAAGAGGCAGTCAAAGTGCCGCTTTCTGTTCGAAACAAAATATCAGAATGGTCAGAACCACAAGAACAGTCTTGTTTTAGATGCGGCTATACTGGTCATTTTATTAGAGACTGTGATTACGTTCCACCGAGGACACGTCCAATGAAGAAAAATGAATATTTTCGACAAATCAGGGAAATACGTCAAGATAGATATTCTAGGAATAGACAAATTACCAATCAAAGGCCAACAACTTATGCACAAATGGTGGCTAGAGGAGGTAATAGAAACAAATATAGAAATAATTATAATAATCAACAAAATCGAAGACAGCAATGGAATGGTAGGTATATAGATAGATCATGGAATAGAAACAATATTAATAGGTACAATGAAGAAGAAGAAATTCATGACACCTACAACGAAGATTGCGATGGAGAAATGAGTTCAGATGAAACGGAAATGTATGAATGGGAAGAACCATCACATCGAGGTTTAAGTTCACGCCCTAAGTCACGTGATTTTATATCTGGTACTAGGAGAGGAGGATCGATGCACATGAATAATGAAGAAAGAAAAGAATTTAATCAAATAAACACGAATGAAAGTCTAAATGAAATCAGGAATGACTTTGCTAAAATTAAAGATATGATGGATTGTCTCATGAAAGACCAATCATCTATGAGAAAAGAACTCGAAGTGATTAAAATTCAGAATAATACAAATCTTAAAGACAAATCTCAAAGACTGACACAAGCCACTAACAGTAATAAAAAAAGAGAAGGGGTCATTTTTAATAGTGGTGGTAAACGAACAAGGAATGAAGAAAGTAGTGATTCTGACAATGTTGCCGCAAATAATGTACAAATGCTATCTAATCGACTCGATAATACTGACAACACTATGAAAAATATAATGAATATGCTTCAAAAAATGGGTGACAAATTCAACCATATCAGCAGTTTTCAAGAAGATAACACAAATCATACTGCTAAAAATAACAACAATAACTACAACACCGGAAAAGGCGCTATCATTAAGGGGGATGATAACGCTTCAACTTCAAACAACAATAATTATTAATAATGATGGACAATAATCAAAAATTACATAAAACAACATCAACATCAAATAATAACTCCCCCCTTAATAAAAATATAAGCAAGAAAAATAATGATCCTGTACATATACGTAATTACAAGAAAAGAATCAAAAGGAAAAAAAGAAAAAATAACGACAAATTTATTATTAATAAAAATGATAATAATAATCACAATAATTTGAATAAAGAAATAGAAAATTATAATAATCAACATAATTCAAAAGAAAATAACATAAAGGCGTTCTTTAATGTGGGAACGTTTAATATTAGAGGTATGACTCAGTTAAAAATGATGAATATCAAAAGTACGTTAGCGAAATATGATTTTGATATTTTAGCGCTGACTGAAACAAAAGTTATAATTAAAAATGCAAAGTTTATGGCAAAAAGTGTCGGAATTAACAAACATTACACAGTTTTTGGGATAATTGATAACGCTCATATTAATAGTACTGGAATTATAATATTAGTTAAAAATGACATAGCTAATCACGTGACAGATGTTCAAGATCATTTGGGAAGAATAATTAAAATAGATTTTAATTTTAGTAAATATAATAAATTCTCAATTATTGCTATTTACAATAAAAGTGGTAATTCCGTTCATGCTAGAGATTCACGACAGACGCTGAACCAAATAGTAATAAATTTAATAAAAGAAGCAAGAAGGAAACAACAACAAATCATATTTATGGGTGATTTCAATTTAAGATTCGATAGATACGAAAAGCTCAAAAATAAGAGGGTTAGAATAAAGAACCAATTCAGTATATTTAAATATTTAGAAAATCATGAGTTCATTGATGTCCATAAAGATTTTCTCAATATAGACGATCAAAATCTCTCAAAACGCTATAGCACCTTTCAAAACTATTCAACATTTTCTCAGATTGATTATATGTGGATAACAAACAATTTGTATGATGGAGTTATTAAAGCTAAAATAATAGAATATAATAGTTTGGATACTGATCATAGTCTATTAAGCATGAGATTCATTAGAAACAATGTAATATTTCAACCAATAAGGACAAACAAAAATATAAAAGCTGGTAGAATAAAATATCTATACGAAGACTTAGATGAAGATAGTAAGAAAATGATTATAGATATGACAGAAAAAGAATTAGATGTTAGATTAAAGAATTATACACCAACGAATTTAGATGAAAAATGGAATATATACAATCACGTGATCGCAACAATTAAAAAAAATCATATCAAACATAAGGAGTTTAAAATAGTAGTAGATAAAGAAGATCAGGATATCAAAAATACTTTAGAATATAGATTCTATAGATACATAGTTTACATTAGAAGAGGACTAAAGAAGGCTAAAGGACTTGAACAAATTAAGAAGAATTGGAAAAAGATCATTAGAAATCTTCGCTCTATACTTAAGGCTTTAGAAATTAATGTCGACTTTTATATATTGAGTTATTATTTTAGAATAGTATTAATAGATACTTATTTAAAGGAGATAGAAGAATTATTTTCGGTTGCGTATATTTCTTTGAATACTGAGATGGGTAAGAAAAAAGAAAAAAAAATTATGGAAGCGATAGAAAGATGACAACAAGACTTAGAATATGACCAAAGACGAATGATAGATAGTGTTATGGAAAGAGAATTCAAAAAAATTAATATAGATAGACTAATTGTACAAGACCAAGATGGTGAAGACGTTCTTATTACAGATGAAAATCAAATTAAAGTATTAGTTGCAAACCATTTTCAAAATTGTGCAGGTTCTGTGAACTGTGAAAAAGAAATCCCAAACGAATGGATTAACGAATATAAACCAAAAGAAGACATACTAGAATCAATATATGATGAAGTTTTATTTCCCGTAACGATAGAAGAATTGATCGAAACAGCTAAAATGTTGCCTCCAAAGAAAGCGACAGGACCAACTGGGATTGCGTATGAAGACATTAAATTAACCATTGAACCGATGAAAGGAATACTTCAAGAAATTTTCAACGATATACTGACAACTGGAGAACTACCAAAGGATTGGCTGAGAGCACACATATATCCAATCCCTAAACCTAAACCATGGCAATACGATTTGAATAATACACGACCAATTACCCTTTTGGAAACAGCGAGGAAATTTTTCGTAAAAATATTAACGAATAGGCTTTCAAAAATATTTACTACTAATGATATTTTAAAAGGTTATCAATTTGCAGAACTGCCAAAAAAATCAACTTTCGAGCTATTAAGAATCGTTAACGAAATAATAAATTACGCTGAACAGAATAAGAAAGAAATGTGGTTCTTAATGTTGGATATGTTGAAGGCCTATGATAGAATAAACATTCCAATGTTGGAAAATGCGATGAGAAGAATTAAATTGCCAGAAATACTTATCAAGATCTTAACAGGACTCTTCACTAACAGGACAAATCAAGTCTTCACTCCTTTTGGATTAACAGATTCGTTCGATATGTTGACTGGGATAGATCAAGGGGAGATTATATCGCCGTTGCTTTGGATAATATACTACGTCCCCCTATTAGCAAAAATAAGAAATACAAATCTAGGTTTTAAAATGGAAGCAAAAGAATATATTGATGTGTATGAAAACTTATATCGTTTAAGATCAATCACCTTTCCAGGATGCGCTTATATGGATGATACTGGATTTATTACGAATAATAAGAATAATTTAGAACGTATCTTAAAGATTGCTGATTCATTTTACAAACTAAATGATATCAAAATAAATAAGCAAAAATCAGAGTTATTACTTAGGAAAAACATTAGTAAAAAGAAACCGCTAGACGATATACATCAGCAAATTTAAATAGTGCGGATCAATGTATTGTTTAATGGTATTTTTAATAGGGCATTGATCAACGTAAAAATTCATTGTTTTACTTAGGCAACACCGATCAATGCAATTATTAATATATAATACAACGCATATTTTAACCCGTTGAAACACTTTTATTATGCATTGTAGCTTTTTCTTATACATAAAATTAGCTATAAATTAATTACTACTATCTTCACTATCGGTATTTTCCATATTGATAGTTCCGTTTAAATCATTTATTCTTTTGTCTTCGTTATAGATACTGATACTCTCATTTTCAATATCACTTTCTTCTATTAACACATTATCAAATTGCATATCATCATTTTTTTCCATGTTATCATGATTCATTACATTATCTTCAAATAAGTTCTCTTCACATTTAAGCTAGTTTTGAAAATATTTGTTAAATCATAAATCAAAGGACATCAATCAAAGGACTTCGAATTACTTAACAATTACTTACCCATTTTTGAATAATTGCATTAGATTCCCATTTATTCATACGTTCCTGTACTTTAGAAGATGAAATTTCAGCTTGATCATACGTTGGATCTAAAAACATAATTGTTACTGTAATGCCAAATATAATATTATTCTCGTTTTGAAGTTCTTCATTATTAAACGTTCTTTGCAAGATAGCTTCAATAATACGCGGTGATTGTAGGTCTTTACTATCTACTCTATTTAGTAGATTGCCCCTTGCTTGTTTCACTTTCTCTGATTCCTTCCAACATCTAACTTCTTCAGGAGTAGCGAACTTGTTGAGTTTGCATGAAAATAGATTTAAGAACATATAGGTAGCATCTTTTATTTTACGAATATATGCTGCTCTGTGATTACGAAAATATTCTAATGTCTATATACATATTGCGAAAATATATAAAATAAAATTGTGTAAATACGATTAATTTTCACTTGAAATAAAAAAAAAGATTCTTTTTTTAAAAAAAAATAACATACAATGGAATATGCAGCATTCCATAAGTTTTCCCATCCATTTGAATTAATAAGTTCTTGCATTTTTTTAGGACAATCCTTTTGAATTTGTGATTTAAACGCTTCTTCAATTTCAGAATCCGATGGATTCTTATTTTCTTGGAATAGCTGGTGACATGCCTTCGTCATTGGTGCCTAGTAATGTAAAAAATATATATCATATATAATATATGTAATATGTTAAATGTTAACTAAACCATATGACAGTCTGATACTTACATCCCACCACATGAATTTAGTATCTTTTCATTTTAAGCGTTGCTTTGGTTTGTCTCCTTGCATTTGATCAGACGTCATAGTCAATGGCCCTGTTGTTAAAATTGTAAGAATGTTTTGTAAAATCATATGATTTTCCAAAACTTCACGTTTTATTTCTCCATAGTTTTCTTTTATAGCATTAATAGTTGTACGTTGTTCTAACTGTTCTTCAAGCAATTTATTGAGGACCGAATGAATATTCGTATTAAATTTTGAATTTAAGGGATACGTCATAGAATATATTAGTTTATGCAATATTCACGTGATAATTGATACATAAACAATAATGTATTTACGTTTGATTGGTAGATCGATAAATTTCTCCGATGTTTTACGCCTAGTCACCGCTTCTATTCATTATTACAAGCAAAATATTAGAAACAAAATATCACAAAACATTTATAATAATTGCCTATCGGTTGAGATATACCGGTAATTGCCACATTTGATATAGATTCTGATGATACATTTGTTGATTTCGATGATGCTAAAATATCTTCTATGGAAGTTGATTTATTTTTTGGTTTTACAATCTTTGGAAAAGTTTGAGATGATTTAGTAGATTGTTTTTCAGCAACTCTTGAAGATCGTTGAACTGGTATAGCATCAAATTCAGTTGAATTATCTAATTGTTCATCATTGATCGTATTTTCGTTTTCCTTTTCGTGTACGTCCTGGTTTATTTTATTTTGCCATAAATAATAAATTTTTAACATAACTTATTAATAAAATAAATATACAATACTTTTTTCTTTCTATTATTAGTATTTTCAAGTCTATTATCATCATCAACAGAAATTTGTATACGAGGGGACGGTAAATCCAAAGGAACATCTTGGTAATCAATTTTTTTATTTGCCACTGGTATTAATGGTTGTACAATTACTGAAGTATCTTTTTGCTTTTTTGTTCTGGTCAAAGTCTGTTCGCCTCTTTCCTTTGTTAGTACAATAGAATGTAAAAAAAAAATAAATATTTTTTTTTTACAAATAATTTACCGTATTACGAGTTTTTTTAGATTGAAGAGGTATCGATACACTGGATACTTTTGCCATATCCTTGAGCATATCTTTAAAAGATGATGATTGTACATTAGTTGTAGTTCCATTTTTTTTTCGTCCACGTTTTGATGGTGGCATTGGAGAGAGAGAAAAGGAAAATTTTTAATCGAATAGCTTGTTTCAGTTTCTCCTTATATACTATTTTATGATAATCATCGTGACTATCACAACTGTCATCATATATACAATATTATAAGAGTTTGATTAATAATCAGTTTATTAATAATCAACAAACAAGCGACTTCTGTTCGTTAATTGATATATTATTAAATCTTAATTATATTTTATACTTAAATAAAATGTTTAATTGTCCATATCAACATTGTAACAGGACATTTTCTCACCGAGCTGCTCTTCGTGAACATGCAAAATCACATAAAGGCCAGGCATATTGGGAGATATTAAACGATTTTAATAATAATTTAGATAACTCGTATAATAATAATGCAGATGAACATGAAGTTAATATAAATATGAACGATATTGAAGTATTTGAAATGGTAATGTCTAATTATATATATTATTGTAAAATTAAAATATAAAAATCTATTATAATATTTTTAAATAAAGGAAACGTTGGAGCATGATGATGATACGGACGATGATCGTTTCAATGAAAATACTGCTGATGCTGATACAGTTGATGCTGAAGAAAATCTCAATTTTGAACATATTCCTAATTATACTCTCTTTACTCCTGAACGAACTGAACAAATAACTTTGATTGATGTAAAAACTACCTTAGATCAGAACTCTTCGCGGTTCCCTGATGCTGCTTATGCCGAATTTATGGAAATTGTATCAAAACATCATTTCTCTAATTCGGCTGGAAATGATGTTTTAAAATGGTTCCAAAAGCACCATCTTCGAGAAAATGTTATTCTACCAAGAAATACAACACAAGGACGTGAATTTGTTAATTCAATATACGTTGATTATTTATTATACCATAAAATAAAAGTCTTAGAGTACGATGATGAAGAATATTATCTTTACCATCGCCCAATCTTTGATGCTGTCAAAGAACTCTTGTCTAATCCTGATATATTAAAATCTTGTCAATGGGATTTTTTACCAGAGTATATTATCAATAAAGATGGCCAACGTGAACGTGTATATGGAGAACAGTGGACAGGGTTGTGGTGGGAACGTGCGCATAATTCAATTGGAGGTGGATTAAAAAAATCTTATCTATAATTTTGTATTCAGATGCCACTATATTAGATCACCTTGGAAAAAGCTCGAAACACCCAGTTTATCTCTCATTGGGTAATATTCCTATTTGGCGTAGAAACAAATGTGACGCTAAAGTTTTACTAGGATTTTTACCTAAATTAAATCCCTTACATAATAATAAAAACAATAAAAAAAGTTTTATACCGGCAAAAAGAATGTTATATCAACATTGTTTTGATATTATGACACAACCAATATATGAAAAGCTAGAGAACAATGGCTTGAATATTGTTACTGATAATCAAATAATCTGGAGTTTTCCATTTCTTTCTGAATTTATTGGAGATTTGCCTGAAGATGCATCACTGACATTGACTTATAATTCTTCTCGATGTAAACGTCCTTGTCATATATGCACTATAACTATTGATGAATTGAACAATACTACTTTGTCCCAAAATGAAATAGAATTACGAACTCCTGAAAATATGCAATTTATTTTAAATCAAAATCTCAGTCATGAATACTCTATCCATCCAATTCAAAATATTTTTTGGAAATTTCGGTAAGTATACATGTAAATATTTTGTATCATATTATTATAATGTATCTAATATAATTCCAATAATTCTACAGTATGTTAAATATCTATAGTGCGACGGTACCTGATCGCATGCATCATTGCGATTTGGGACTTTTTAACTATCAAGTCAATTTCGCTCAAGATTATATTCGAATATATTGTGGACAAGAGGGTATTGATGAGTTTAACCAACGTTTAGCTACAATTCCTCGTTTTCCTGAACTCAAATCTTTTAGACATGGACTTGGAAATATTGCAAGGTTCACTGCTTCAGAATTTCGAAACATGATGAAGCAACTTGTTTTTGTTGTAGATGGTTTAATTATCGCAAAATATAAGCCATCATGTTTAAATTTACATCAGGCAAAACAAAAGGATAAGAAACTTGTAAATTTATTTGTTTTATGGAATAAAATGTATATCTTTAGTCGAAAGGATTCTTTTACCGATTTTGAACTTAATAAATTTCAGGTAAATTTTATAATTAAATATAAGTCCTTTTAATTTACTGTATAGTACTTAATAATTCAATTTTATTATTTTTAGGAAATGATAATGAATTAGGCAAAAGAATTTATTTTTTTATTTATGCCAATTGTAAATACTGAAATGAAGTACCCAAAGTTGCACAATTGGTACTTTCATATTGTTGATGCTATACGAGAATATGGTGCAATAAATGGTTTCACTACCGAATCATATGAATTATTACATAAATTTTGTGTAAAAATTCCATATAGAATGACCAATCGTAATAATGTAACTCCACAAATAATTAATATGGTACGTTATTTTTTTGCAATTGTATTTATTAAAGCAATATTATTTAACTAAAAATATTACATTTAGGTGCGTTGAGATCCCCCAATTCCCTCTGTCATCAATTTACAGAGTTGCCACATCGAACGGGCATTCCCATGGTCGAACGAACGAATAAACGAACGAACGAATAAACGAACGAACGAATAAACGAACGAACTAACAATTAAACGAACAAGCAAGTAATCAACAACATAATCAAACAACATAATCAACGAACAACATACAACAACATATAACAACAACATTCTTGGTTCACAAAATAAATAGCGTTAGTAATATAAAACGTCGAACGATATAAAATAAAATTTAACTTCTCTAAATTTTCCCCAAATTATATC